CCGACGGCGTTGTGCCGTTTAACGACCGAATCACATAACTCTCGGCAATATAAACTAACTGAGCTTGAACAAAGCTTACTGAACATGATAGCACATAATGATCGGAGAGTTGAACTTAACATGCAATAACACGAGGGTGGCCCGTGGTGCGCACTAGATGTGCGACCACATCCCTTCGACCAAAACACCCCCAACATGACTAGTTATCCGAACATTTAAGCTAATCTAAACATGATATTGCAAATAAGGCTCAACATGCAAGGATAGTTCGGAGAATATAACTTATAACATGACATGGTCGGCATGGCTTCGGCTTTTCACACATAACACGCATGCACGCTACTAATATTTAACTTAATAAACATGCTAATCTCGGTCAACAACCGTCGGGAGTTACCTTCGATTAAGCCGGAGTGACTAATCTCTTCGAATTCCCGTACTTGGCCGTGACCCTCCGCGTGCGTGCGTTGTCGTGTGCGTGTCCTCGGATTACCGTGCGGATGAATACGGCGCTGCGTGCAGACGCTTGCGGTACGGCGGACTGCTTGCTGCCTATGCGCGATAGCTCGGACGTGCGATGGCTCGCGGAACACTCACGGCAAAAGTTCACGAACAACACTCACTAAACTCTCTCAATATTTCGGACTTGGCATAGAAGGAGAAGAAAAATGGAACAAAATTTCCAAAGTCTCTCATTTAATACAAGGACCGAATGCATTAGGGTGAGGGAGGGAATACATGGTCAAAGGCTTAGGACACTTGCCTCACATGCCATCTAATGCTAGGACACTACACACTAAAAGCCAAAGTGACATGCATGTCTTTCCTGCCCCAATAAGTCACGTGAAGATGCCAACAAAAGTGAAGAAGTGCTTGAACAAATCCCACTTACATGTGCACGGCATTTAGGACAAAGTGGAGGGAATCTTGGAACAAATGTACTAATACACATCACTTATTCACACGGCACATAGGACAAGGTGGTAGGAATCTTGGACCAAAACACTAACAATAAAGAAATGGGACATCTCACCACCACTACAAAGACGCACGGCATTGATAAGATGCACGAGATGATTAATTTCTATTAATCACCAATTAAGGCTTAATCACTTAATTAAGCATAACACTTAATTACCAAAATTATTTCGAACGTAAACGGTACGTCGAGAATAATTTTCGGTAATTTTGACTGAAACAACTGAAAATAATTAATTCCGAAAAATAATATCGGAACTAGAAATATAATTTATACTGATAAATATTCGGGATATTACAATGTTGAGTTGAATCATAACTCATACCAATTACGTCTAGGGGTGAGCATCGGTATGGTTCAGTGCAAAACCGCATCGAACCGCAAAAAACCGTTCAAACCGAACCACACCGTTGTGGAGAAAAAATCGAACCAAAACCGCATCCAAATTTTACGTTTCTGTGTTGTTCGGTCTGATGAACTGCAAGTAAAAAAAAAAAAAATTGTAACAAAATAAAAACAAAAATAAAAA